AGGATCTGCATTAATTTGGTCCAGTTTACCCGGTCAAATGCCTTCTGCCAGTCTATGAAGCAAACACACAGTTCTTCATCTATCTCCAAAGTTCGTTCCGCTATAATTCTCATCATCCCAATTGCATCCCTGGTTCCTTTTCCTCTTCTAAATCCAAAATGATCTTCTCCAAGTATATCCTCTATTTTCCTTTCAATTCTTCTTCTAAGTATCTTTGCTATTATCTTTGCTGTATGTGCAATAAGGCTTATTGGGCGATGGTCACTGCATTTTATATTTGTCTTTTTCTTTAAGGCAATCATTGTAACTTCTGTAAAGTCCTTGGACCACTCTCCAATTTCATATATGGTGTTCAATAGTTTTGTCAGTGTTTTCAAACCACCTTCTCCCATTAACTTGAGCACATCTTCAGGTACATCATCATCTCCTGTAGCCTTTCCACTCACATATATATGTCAGCTTGAAGTAAAATATTCTTTGCATTGGCTGGCCAAAGGTAAAGAACAACACTGTGTGTCAATTGAAGAACCAAACCAAAAATAAAGAAGCATGACTGGTGTGTGTGAAAACCCAGCTGTGACCAGAATTGACTGTACCAGTGTCCAGTAGTGTTGAGTGTGTAATGTGATCTACGGCAATAAAGCAGACCTCCTCCAGTCAGGTGTAGTGTGTGTAATGAAATTCCATCTTTCTTGAATGAACTTCTACACCTACAGTACACACAGCAATATACGAATCATAATTAGGGATGATGTGGGTTATGGGGTACAAATGCAAGTGTAGCTTGGGTAGACATCAGATGAGGACATGGTCACATTTTTTACATACATATTAATTTTATAAGTGCATCAGTTTTCCATAGGTACATTTTTAAATAACAGTAATATTAATCTGGTGCAAATAAAAGAATTTGGCTGAAAATTATTTTTTTTAAGTATGAGGCATTCATTCCTCTATTATATTGTTCTTGTTTAATTGAGATGTGGTGGTGATATATGATTTTTTCTAGTCTAATGCAATTACAATTTAATTCTGCCTGAATGCCAAGTTCAGAATAAATATGATAACTGAGGAGTAACCTGCAGAACTAAATGACGTAATTTTGTCAAAAATATTTTTTCTTTCTGATTTTCCCATTGGAAAAAGTGGGTAGCCTTATATTCAGGCTTATACAATATACACAGCTGTATGTATGGCTACAAAAAAAAAAAACAAAGATGTTATGATATTATGTGTTAGCATCCCGTTGTATCGAGGCATCATCCTATTTTTTTTACTAACATATCCGTCAATATTCAACTTTATTTACTCAGCTATAGTTCGTATTGGTGTGGATGTTGTTTTTGTTTGTTTAAGTTTTGTATCTTATGTTGTTTTTGGTGTATTTCTGCAATTTCATGTTCTAATTTTTACTTTATGGTTTGTTCGATGGTTTGTTACCATATATTTGCATTATGTAAATGGCCTGGGGTAAAGTTGTTTCTTTAATTCTTGTTTCTTTTTATACAAGAATTTTATCTCACATCTAATACATATTGTTTGTGTTTGAATTTGTGTTTTTTTAGCCGCTTCATTATTAATTGGTATTTTTATCTGTGAATATTTTGGCGCAAGTTTTAATCTTAAACATGTTTTGTTAAAATTTATGTTTGCGTTACAGTGCAATAGTTTCCTCTTACAATTCATGTATTTATAGATGCTATTAGTGTGACTACTCATGATATTTCAGCATTCCATTGTATTGAGGCATCATCCTATTTTTTTAATTTTTTTACTAACATATCCATCAATAATACAACTTGTATTATTGACGGATACATTAGTAAAAAATGTGGGGGGGGGGTTTATGAGTTTAGGGGAAACTGGAGAACATTAAGGTTTTGCGTTTGTACTGGCTTTCTGTAAGAGTTTTTCTCATTCAGCTGGGAGGCTCCATTCCTCATACATTCCAAATGATGCAGAAATCACTGTGACAAGATTGTAAAAGTTTATAGTGTAGATTTAATGGACACATTTATCAGAAGGAACTATAAAAGACATGAAGGATTTTAGGTTCTCACAGCAGTGGTTATGAAGAGTCCTATATTTGGGATATAATGTGTATTCCATTGAAAGTCAACCAGTGTCTGCAGAGGAACATGTCACCTCAAAAACAGAGGTTGTCTTTCAACGGACTACATGGCATTATGTCCCAGGAGATAGATCTCTTTGTAAATGACATGATCTTCAAATTAATTATAAGGATATAAAATTTAGCTACGTGTGTGAAGGGGAAGTGATATTCTGTAACTCTGATATTACCACGTTTTAGGTAAACTGAGTAAGACTACAGTAAACTCTTCCCTTGTAACAAACACATTCACATACCACCGTTCACTCTTTGCTGATGCTTCTTCAGATTGATGAGAAGTCAGAATTAGAGGCCTATACTGAATAATATTATATTTAAGCATCCTGTTGCACTTCATACGATACATGATACAAACTCCATCTTCAGTGCAACCATATATTATAGGTATTTCGTTTTGCTCTCCCTTACACACTACATGTTTCGGCCACAAACGGCCATCATCAGGTGTATCGCTCAGGCATCTGTCACACTGCACTCAGTTTAACATTTAAAATTTAAAAACACAGGTCTTCTTGATTGTACCCCTCGTCGTTATTACTAAAATCTACTTCGCTGATGTCCCCGGTATTCAATTTTAAATTGAAAAAGTTTTTAAAATTGGAACTGAGGATTTTATAAGTGCTAGTTCAGAGAAATCAGGATTGACGTGTGTGAATAACGGGAATGGAATGGAATCTAAACTCAGTACTTTTCTCCTTTGTTTCTGTAATTGTGATCTTTTGCTGAAATAATCAATGCATTTATTTTCTTATGGATGTCTGAGACACTATTGTTTAGTGTTGAATATATAAGTCTGGAAACAAACACACAGTATCCCTTTTGTGTAATTATCTCAAAAACCATAAAAATTTTGGAGAAAATTTAAGGGACATAAAATGTGTTTTATTTTTTCTGTAGCTTCTATATAAAACGTTCTTTTCTGTTCAATAAATATTTAGCATGTTATGCTTCAGATACATGCAGAAATGCATAGAGGTCTTCATGTAGGGTTGTCCAGTCTACAGGAAAATTGACTTCACATGACTTTTTTTTCATAAAATTCTCCGATGTCAAACTTCATGAAAATTTGTCCTGCAGATGTTGCATTGTTTCATGTACACAGACCAATGAACTGAGCGAACTTAACCCTTCCCGGTCGAACGTCGATATATAATCGACACGGTGACTGCTTCAATGGACAAATGTTGATATATTATTGACAAAGTTTGTTTCATGCTTATGCAGTCATATTTTATCATACATCACTAGTTGACACTGTAGACTATACCAATGCATGCATGAATGTTTTGTTTGCCATCTGGAATTCATAACTTGTACTTCTTGAGGGATGAATGCCAGTTGTATATTATGGTATGTCACGTGTTAGTAGCATTCTTTTACTTTCAGCTGAATCACAGCCCTCTGGATTGAAGAAATTGGATATATTACCTTGTGTAAAGCGGATGATGAATCTGGTAGTGATGTGTTAAGTGAAGAACTCCATATTGACTATGATGATTAGATTAATTTGGAAATTGAAGGAGAAACTGCGAGTGAAGAATCGAGCAATGAAATGTCAGAAAGTGAGAAGAGAGTGAAACAAGTGTTGTTGCTTGTTGGTGGCTGGGAAGATGCAACAGTGGACGATTATGCACGTGGGGAAATGATGCCACCGAATAAAGCAATTGGGCCATCAAAAAGACAAAGTACATGGGGCGATAAAACAGAAAAAAATTCAGAAAGAATTTGTGTTGGGTAAAAACATTGTAATAGGTGAATCAACAGTTGGGTTCAAGCAAAAAATCATTTTTGAAACTTATAATCCAAAAAAACCACCAAGTGGGGCATCAGATTTGTGCCGTCTACACTCTGCTACCATATGTACCACTTGTACCATCTTACGATCTGCTACCACAGCACCGTCACTCTCTGGCACCTTTCGGCTCCACCTACCCTTCCTCAATCGGAGGGGGAAACGGTGCCCCGTCATACGGCTCCCCATGCTGTGCTCCCACGCTCCCTAAGCTAGAGTAAGGGATCCAAGCTAGCAGCGAGGTAAATCTAGTTACAAATGATGGCAATCAATATAATAACAAATAACAGAATTTAATAAACACAACTAACACCTAAACAAAGACAAGAATTCATGGTCGTTACAGCGCACGAGCCCAAGAAATTAAACAGAACTCAACTAATTGCACATTTACATGCTTGCACACAGCAGCATCTAACTCAGGCAGAATGGCCCATATTTACTGGCGCAACAATTTGCCTTGGTTGCATGAAAACATAACTACTACTTTCTAGCCAGGCCACAGACTGAGTCTAAACCAAATACACAATATAAATTATAAACACAGATTCAACTAAACTGGTACGAGTCGCCGCCGTACTACAAACCCAACGACAGGCGACCGCGGGCGATCTCGCCGGCCGCGAACCAGCCCACTACTTGCTGAAACAAATTTTGGACTCCCAGCCAAACAGGAATTTGACAATCACTCCGGCTGGCTCGGCGCCACGAGCAAGGCCCTATGGATCCATAACCAGAACTGACCTCCAAACTCGAATTAACTTCCAAGCAAGGCTCCCAGGGGTAGAAAGGAGGGGAGAGGGCAACACCATGTGACCCAGTCCTGCATGGTGATGGGGTGGGGGATAAGTTTAAGAACCTCGATCAAGGGGCTGGAAGCCCATGACGTCATAGCGGAGCCACTGCATGGCTCAGATTATTTGCATTAACTGAAAGTGACACTGGTTATATTCACAGTATAGTGCCAAATTACTGAAAACTTACAGGTGACATGTTTAACTTATCATATTCTGAAAAACCGTTCATTTCAAAAATAGTTCTTTCCTCGGTGGACAGACTGACTCAGTGTGTCTGGTATTGAAGACTACCTCCATTTTGCTGACAGATATAGCATTGTTGAGTTGACCCAAGAATTGGACAATCAAAAATGTAAGTACACATTTGGCTTCTTTTTTTAACTTTGTGCCCTTGTTGCACCTACTTTTCAGGCAGAACAGTTCACTTAGTTGCTTGGCAGGCATTTAAAAACCCCTGATAACCTAGCTGTGGAAGATTTTCTAAATGCGATGACTGGAAAGGGTTAACGGTGCTCCACAGGGTTGCTTATCCACCTAAAACTGAATGCAAGAATTGTTACTGTAATTTTATTTTGATTTCTTCCAAAAGTGACCATATTTTTTACAATACCTCACACTTATTCCAAGTGCTGAAGGCAAATTCACAAATACAGTGCACAATATAGTTTAAATTTGTTAATTTAACATTTTCCTTAATATGTTAAGTACTATTTCACACAATACGTAACAGTCACTTGTCAGATTCATACATGTGAAAATCCTCTAAGTTATGTGCTACATGTCAATCTTTGACACCCATAAAAAGTTTCAAAATTTAATTTGTAACAACTTCATTTATCATAAAACAAAACTTGGCTATATATACTTATCCGTGACTTCACTTATCACAATAGAGTATTGTTAACTTCAGACTTCCATATATCTTTTCATGTGCATATAATTGTTTAATCTGTTGGCACCTTTTGAAATGTGAAATAACCCTTTCTTTACATGGAAATCCCAAAATATCACTCATGGGATTTTTATCACTTAGTGACAAGGCCTACAATATATCTATCCCAAGACAATATTATTTACATAAACATAAATTAAAAAAAATATATATAGTGTAAAGTCTATGAGCAAAAACTTGCATAAGATTAGTCAGCATTGCAATGACTTGTTACAGTAGTGCTGTAAATTGACCTTTTCAGTTCATCTAATGAGGTGGTTATTCAGAATATTAGCTTTGGCTCTCAACAGACTGTCTACTAATTAGACACAGAAAATACAAAATAGAATAATTAACACCATTGCCCATACCAAGGAATAGCAAACAGGATTTTCTAGTAACAAGTTCATAATGAGTATAGAATTTGTGTGTCTATGGGCCTTGGCAAGTCTTTGAACAAAACTTGTCTTGTTTTTCTCATTTACATTATATGCTGCTTCTAGATGACAGGAGCTAAAATATCAATTTTCTTTTTAAAATTAACAGTTTTCTCTGTTCTAATGCAAAAGTCATGTTTACCTCAATATTTTATCTTGCATCTTGCATACTTGTCTGCCACATGAACTTCTGTAGCAAGTTATGTACTTTTCAGAGTCTGAGGAACTGACAGGAAAACAAAGCACATGATTCTGTTATACCTTGATTTAGAGCTAATTTAATGTACCACATAACACTACTTTGTCTGTACAGATAAACAAAGCAGCAGTTTATACATATTGCATTTGAATGATATCAAGTAGAAAGAAAAAGTTTCTTGGAACACATAATTTTCTACAATAATTTTGTATACTATTTTTACATTCTGAGGTAGTTTCACCTACTGTTTGATGAATGTTGTGCATTCACAAAAAAGAATCTCATTTCATACATCTATCTGTACACTATGTACACTGGAATACCCATGCAGCAGCTGATGTTAAGTTCCTGATTTACAGTGTCAATACATGAAACCAACATTTTTAATGTTTGTGATATGGCAAACCTACTATTGATGAGATCCCATAGTTACTTGAACAAGTGTGTACTAAACAATGCCTGAATCATCTTGCTTTTAGATCAGAAAATTATGTTACTTACACATTTCCTGGCATCAAAACAAAATAGCTAGTAACACTCTGACTCCTTAATTATATACAAAATAATCTGCAACCATAGTGGACATGTGTAAAGTAACATGATGCTGTGACGCTTGTACTGAACAGCTTACAACACAGTATTTTCAGTTCACAGTGTATATAAAACCATGTAAGAAATTATTGCTTTTGACAAATTGGCACTAGTTCACCATTTTAAAATAATAATAAAAAAAAAGTTTTAAATGACTTACAGTGATATTAAAATATCAGATATTTTCAGACTTCAACTTACTGATAGAACCATTTCAAATAAACTTCAATTACAAAAAGATATGAATGATGAGTCAGTATTACTATAACTATATTTAGAAGTAACACTTTTCTTACAGTACCTGTCTTTATATCAGCCAGTAATCCTTCAGTACTTAATAAATCCAAATGTGGCTGCAAGCTTTTAAACACACAGTAATGTAAGCTAAGTATAAGTGAAACATTTTAGTCAAACAAAAATATTTTCAGAAGTACACAGCTTGTAGTGGACAGTCTGGTTAAATGCCAGTCTGCAAAATTGACTGAACCTTTGGAATGAAAATATACACACTGCCCCTGTATATTCATAGGAGCCAACAGCTTTGAGCAGTCACCCCCTCCTACCCCAGTAAGACTCGGCCTTGATATAGTGTTACAAATTGCTTAAAAATGTTGTAACAAATGTCACCTCCATGCAGTTTATAAACACTCGATATGCATAAAACTTTAGTCTCTTTGTAACTTGCATCTCAAGGTACTGAATTTTCACATTAGGATGCTTCTAAATTATAGTAATAATTAACTGTGTAAATAATCTTGAGTATTGTGTAGGTATACTGCATGTAGTGTGAATGAAAAATGTCAAATCTAATTCACTGTCACAGGTAAACTGTGTCACTGTAGCATATTTCCATTCTAACATAATATAAATCCACTCATGTACTCAGTCTTTCTCCAATCATATAGCAGAACAGAAAAATGGAAGTACAGAAACAAAACATGATTAGTAATTAATGCACACCCGTTTTCTGGTTAGATAAAACACCGTTATACCTCATTAAATTTCCACTGTATATTTGAAACAATGAAGCCTGTACCACTTCTAACAATGTTCAATGTTCATGCTTTGTATTAAAATACACCATGTTACATATAATGTCCTTATTATTTACAGTTCAGCTTTCCACTCTTGACATCTGATCATGATTCACTATCACTTGCACCACGTAACCAGGCATTATCTTTGCTTCTTCAACACGCAGCTTATCTCCAAGCAACTTTCCACCAAAAAACCACCTCTGCCTAGATGGTTCTAATCCTTCTTGACTCTAGATACAAAAATTACAATTTGATAAAAAAATATGAACCAATGGAGCCTGCAGTTAACTGTGAAGAAGAAGATCACTGTCTTCTAGAATGTGATGCCATTTAGTCGGAAGATAGTTACATTCTGGAGAAACCTAATGTCTCCTCTTCTGCCATGGAGATAGAGGCAGCAGGTTCCTCCAAAACACTGGTAACAATCTACAAACTGTGGTGTCACATCCAAGTCGCAATTGTAAGAAAATTAAGAAAAAATGCTGTAAATATTAAAAACTGATAATTATTAGAATAAACAACACACACACGCACTTCTACAGTATCTACAGTACTTATTATTTACTGTTTACTTACAATAACAAAGTAAATGTTCCTGTGTTTACAGTGCTTGCAATTTCAGTGTAAGGTAAGGTCTGGTAGTAGAAACATTATGAGAAATATCAGGAAGACTCAGTAGTAATACATTTTTCTATAACTATTTAATTAGTCCAATACCAAATGTTCAAAATTCTAAGATAATGAAATATATTGCAATTCACAATTCAGAAGATGAAGAGTATAAGGTTTAGCCCAGTAACTCATGATAGAATTTCAAGTATTATCTTTATTGGGAAGGAATTTTGAACTGCATTTCCTGTAGTGCTGGGTTCTCTCATATTACGGTAATGAGATATAAACATATATTTAGTGCTTCCTGGGTTTACTTATAAATTGACATCGTTATTACCTCCTGAAAGGTGAAAAAAAAAGGTGCACTAAACTCTTTGCTAAGATTTATCTTACTTGTAAAATTTACTGACCTGCAGTTTCTTTTTTGCCATTCCTATGGTGTCCTTAGTAGACACTGGTAATTTTACATCCATACATGTTGAAGACAATCGGAGCTTTAATACCATTTCTGTTCCACCATCTACTGGTTCTGAGAACAAATGTGAATATCCATCATTTTGAAATGGCAGCAATAAATACAAACTTAATTACTACTAATGTAAGACCAGAAACATAGAATTATGAAATTGAAATATACTTCATTTCTGCACATTATCAAGCACTAATCTGGATTTAAAAAGGTCTACCAAACCTGAGCATTCAGCTGGAGAATCTCTTCCACTGTCTTCTTTTACGATGTTGATGGGATAGGACAGACAGTAAACAGGCACTTGATAACGAGTACCCAACTCATCATAGCATTCTGTCAGGAAACCTGTAATGTATAGTGTGTACACTTGTGATGATAATTAACAGGTCAGGTTTTAACCTGTTCACTGGTTGCATGACATGTTAAAATAGCAAAACCATGACACAACCATCTGACAACTGATGTTTTCAGACGTGTGTGTGCGTGCATATAGCACCAGACATTAACTGCGTACTCTTGTTATGCCAGTTGGCATATGTGGTATACAGTATTTCCCTCAATAGAATATAAGTAGAAAATTTCTTGTCCTTAGCACATTTACATGATGACCTACACACAAGGGCTACTGATAGCTGTGGAACTGTCAACACACTTTTAAAGTAACAGCAATGGGATGACATCTTCATTCCATCAAATTCTCCACAAATAAGAATATCTAACTAATTCTAAATTGTAATCAACTGTAAACAATTGTAACTATTGTAATTTTAATCTTACTCATATATTAAATTGTTAATATTCAGAATTAACTTGACTTGTCCTATATCATGTACAATGATCTACAGTGACAAAATCAATCAGTCAATCAATCATGCTAGAATGTGAGATAACAAAACAGTGACTTGGAAAAACAACTGAGACATGCATATTAATAATTATGCATAAACCAATAAACCACAACCCCAGAGGGCAGCTTTTATGCTGAACATAGCAAGTTAAAAAACCTGCTACACAGTCAGCACATGAGCTATGTCCACAAAAGGGGACAAAATGGCTAACAGCTATTCAATTGTGAAGCGAATATGGAGATGGACAAATATTATTTGTTGACCTGCTGGCTGTAACTATACTGAATAGCTACATATCCTCTCATCGAGTGGTAGCAAAACAGACCACCAAGATTTCATCTGACTGTAGTTCAAAATCTGACTCTTTTAAATAAGTGAAAGGAACACTTATCTTCATTCCGCTCCAAGAAGATTAAGATTACAAGACAAATGACCTACCTTGAACATTAACATACAAGTCAGTCGTCAGCTATGCAGTTATATACCAGTCAATAAGAGACAAATGATTACTAAATTTATGTGCCCAATTGCAGAGTTCATCAGGTTTTTGTATTTACCATACAAAGGCAAAATAGTTCCATCACAATTTGTGAAGGAAAACATTTCTACAAATATATATCTGGATTTATTTACACGCAATTTTTCTTTCAAAATCTACATTTGGAAACGATGTCCATAACAGTAAATATTAACCCTACAAAATCCAGCAATGTGTTCCCCTTCAAATACTTTCCACTAGAATATTTTATCAGTGCAGTTCCAAAGAAACAGATATCTGTGTCATTATTAATACTACTAATCAGATGAACCTCGGTTACTATGGGAGATTCAAATCTACTATCATCATGTGACAAAGATTAAGTAGACACAATGAGTTATCATGCATCAGTTTAATAAGGGTCCAGAAAAATATCTACAATGTACAATGCAAGGGCAAGTGCAAGTAATGCAGAATGTGAATGAGGTATGACTACATGCGAACATTTAAAATCCTTCTACCATTAGGAACTGATATGTTTGCCCCATCTAGAATGGCCTGTGCAAGTCCAAAATCGACAGCTTCTGCTGCTACCGCTGCAGCACGTAAAGCATCCCAAATTTCTTTTCGTCCATCGAAAGCTGGTGCTGTGTCCCAGAACTCATCCCTCTTACTACGCAGCTGGCCTTCGGTCAATGGCACGTCTGACTTCCAGCGGATAGTTTCATGGCACAAAGGGTGATTTTTTCGTGTACTTCCTGCAAGTTTCAGAGCTGATTAAATATGCATATAATAAATGTATCCAATCACACTATCATAACTATACCATAATTTAAAATCGCATAACTAACGATTAACTAGATCTTTGTATCTGCATAAATAATAAAAAATAAAATTCTAAGAACATTTGCATCTCCAATACATTTTCTTTCCTTGACCCAAATGATACCAAGGTTATCATCAAAAGATGAATTCCTAGATTTTACCTGAATTTGGCCTAGTAACATTTCCTGTATTGTCATCTGCCCCATCGCTCCTCGATCGGCTAATTCCTATGCACCCTCCCATTCTGAATACCTCGACTTTTGCGGCATTTCAGTAATATTTCTTAACTTTTCACATGCTCCTTCCATTTTCTACTCATCATTCCATCAACTGACAGTAGCGAAGCGCCGTCGTGAACCGTGAAAGAATGATTGCAGATGGCTCTGTGTATGCTATGTGACCGATGTTGACGATATAGGTGATATAGGTTTTGCGGCCCATGATATACGTGTTGTACCAACATAATACATCGATAATACATTTCCTTTCCAATATTCGCTATTGTAGCAAGCAATCCACAATATACAGAAGACACGTTTCACCAATGTAGATTTAGTAAGCTGGGTACGAAGTAGAGCTAAACAGAAGGCTGCAAATGATGATATTCCTTTCCATACGTATGTTTAAATCCGTGTAATAAGCATGGGGGAACATGTGAACTGTAGACAGAAGATCAAAAGATAGATTGTGAACTTTCTGGAATTTCTTACGAGATGCCGAACATGGAGGTGGAAGCAGATGCCGGATGGTTGGATGGTGTGGTAAATGAAGCCATTATGGATGATAAAATTCTTGTGGACAAATGCTGCAGTATTGCCAATGGTGAATATTACTGAACTTTGTGTATTTTGGTTTGTTTGCCGAAAGCCTTTTTGACAGCTTCAATTGTAGGTTGTAGAAGTAGGTCAAAGTCTGGCAGAGTGCCATCGCTCGGAAGTCATATGCCAATCGAAAGAGTCAAGACCAAATAGTAATTTTTGCCTAAAGGTCTGCCGTGAATGTGTGTGTGTGTGTGTGTATTTTCTTTGTACTGTAGTATGTCAACCAATTTTCTTTTGTGTGTCAGGTATCCAGAGTCAGAGTGGAGGTCTTTTGAAACTGGTTGAAAAATTGGGAATTACACTAACAGACAAAAACCCAGAGTTGAGAGAGAAGGGAACACGGATTCTAGCAGAGGTTTTGCAGAATCTGCCAAGAGACTGCCTGCAAAAATCAGAAGTACATTTTATCACAACTTTCTTCTGTGATCGGCTTAAGGATCATAATGCAGTTATTCCAGCAGCATTGCAAGGAATTCATGCTGTTGTATGTATATGCAGATTTACTTACTATTCTTTTGTGAATATGCATGTTTACTGTTAGATTTAGCACTCACATAACTTACACATACTGTATTAGTATTTTGAAGTGGGTAGGGTTTGAGCTAGAGGAATCCACCACTTATTTTTATCTAATTCACTTTCCCTTTCACCTTGAACACAACAAGGTGAAACAATTTAATTCCCAGAATGATCCTATGAAAGCAAAATTTGCTTACCTGTGCACTAGGTGGCTGTTGTTGCCTTCAGAATGCTGTCCTTGTGAAGCTGTGCACTTTGTGAGATGGTCATGCCACTAATGGAAACAGTCTTGAAAATCATTTTCCAAAATACCTCGCAGTAACATCACTTTTGTGTTGGATATCAGGAATGTCAGAAAATCATTGTCCCTTCAGGACATATTTTAATCTTGGAAAGAGCCAAAAATTGCAGGGGCTAACTCAGGTGAATAAAGTGGATGGTTCGTTTTTGTAAGGGATTTCTTAATCAGGAACTCTTGAATTCTTTAACTCATCATGTGCAGGGGCATTGTCATCGTGGAGAATCCATTTATCAGGACAGAGTTCAGGTCTTTTCCTCCAAACAGATTCCCATAACCTTGTCAGCACTTCCAAATCACATTGCTAATTCTCTGTCTGTTCATACTCTGTTCACATTTGTATGTGTCCTTTGTGTTTTTGGCTGCCCACTTCTTGGGTCATATTGCTAACGTTTCACAAGCACTTTTTCCAACGTTCACACAAAACTTGATGTTTATCCACTGCTACAGATTCTTGTCACTCATTTTTCCACCAACAGTAAACCACAGATATATACTGCTTCCTTTGCTGCTTGGGAACTAATGACTCATTTGGTCTGTGTCTCATATAAATGCAAGTTGGAACATGTCAAATGTGCTTAGGTACATGAGTTTGCCTGACTCAACAACACAGAGACACGCTGCAGCCATTCCAGGAATTAAATTCTCGGGCCTTGTATGTAGGACTTTCCTAAAGAAGGAAATAATGCAAATGATTCAGTAAACATAATTATAATGGAAGCCTGTAGGTGTGTATTAGCAGGTATAAGTAAGGTACAAATAATTAATGGGACCCAAAACATACATTGAAAGCCTCTAGGTTAAAACGTCAAATGCTGAACTTAGTGTTGTTCTTACTGCTAGACAGCCAATACATAAAACAAAAACTCCATGGCCTGTAGTCTGCATGCGAACTATACCGACTGAGTTACAGCCACTTGGCGAAGTTAGTGCCAACTTTAGCGGATAGAGGGTGTCACGTGGTCAGCACAACAGATCCCCACGGCCGTTAATCTCAGTTTTCTAGACCGGAAGTCAACCAACACATGCTGATGTTAATTCCATTCTAGGGTTGTCATATTGTGTGTACAGAACTGCACGCTACCTCCATTTAATATCAGTAACCTACATATAATATGAGTTAGGGTGAAAGAAAGAAGGAGATAAAAGAATAACAAACTTAGGCTAATATTCTGGAGAAAACAAGGGGATAGGGTGGTTTGCCAGAAGAAAGAAACCAGTAAATCCCCTGGAAGATAGCATAACAGTTAAAACCAAAAACGAATTTTGAACTTATAAATCTAAACATGACAACGTTATCTGTTAGTGTCATTTTATTGTTGCTGTTACATGTTCAGCAGTATTGCCTTAAAATAGGGCATGAGAACTTTCCTTCTCAACCTTTCCAGTTCATCATTCTGAATCATTGTACCACTTAGCACCGTATATTCTGTGCAGCCGTTAAGGTGTCATTAAATAATCTGTTCTTATTGTCACGATTTTTGAATTGCTGTGATTCTTATATAACATTTTTCTACATTAATTAGTGGCTTCGTTTCTAAATGGAAGTGCATCACTACATTTTGTAATTACTAAATGGCAGTCAGTCTCCCAGTAGAGTTCAATATTGGTCTTAGCTGAGAGTTTCTTTTAGCATTTGAAATCTTACAAATTTGTCCAATCAGAAGAGTATATGTCTTTATACAGAGGAATGCTGGAGCTGTACTTCTTTTGGCTTATTTTGTACTTCATCCATCGTCTGGTATGTAAAAGACAAAAAGACCAGTGATTGAGACTAGCTCTTTCTAACAGGCCCAGCTGAGTAGGTTTATCCTTCCCTACCCACCTGAAGACGGAGACAGATCCTGTCTCCAAAACGTCGTGGTCTCTTTGTCTTTTACATACCAGACGATGGATGAAGTCCAAAATAAGCCAAAAGAAGTACAGAGTACACCATCGTCAGAATCCTTTCAATGCTGGAGCTGTTCATGCTGGTTTGGCCACACTGGTACCAACAGTTCTAAATCATGTCAAAAATGCCATAGAAACAAGCCTGGCCCGTCACATGCCACAAAGTAGTGTTTGTGAAAGTTGACAGCAATTGAAAATGTGTGCTGGCAACATAGTCAAGCTTTTGTATGTCACAGCATGCATTATTTAAAGGAACTGAGGGACATATTCCATTGACTTACTTGTCCCCGATTTCAAACTCTTGGTTTATTGTACAAATGAGATAATATGTTACAGATACAAATGAATAACCTTCCAGAAGATTCTCCAGCACATATAGTTACTGGACTGTTTCAGCATGTTCATTGTCAGTCTCAGAAGCAAGCAGATCGCCATGTTATCTACAAAATACTTGAAGCATTTATTCAGAATTACAAAGAAGGTAGGTGATGCTACAATGATGTGTTATAATAGTGCACAGTTTCTCTTTATTATTGTGTATATAGAATTCAAAATTGAGACAGAAATGAGCTGCTTATGATGGGACAGTGGTAGTTTACTGCTTGGCTGCAGAGGCAACAGTGGATGGTGGGTAGAGCAGGGATGTGGTTAGCGTATGTAGGCAGGTTGCAAAGAGGGTGATCACTCCATCTCCTTTCTCCCATCCCATGGATCTGAGTGATCACTTTCTTTGTGATCTGTCTTCATAACCTAACTGCATCCTCTCTCCTCTTGCTTCAACCCTGAAGATGGAGATAGCATGTTCTTTTTTGAGCATTGGTATCTGCCTACAAGACTGCAAGGTGTCACAGCCCAGAAGACCACATTCTGAACAGTTAGTACTCAAAATTTTCCTATGAATCTTTGCTTTATGTGGTTAATGAATAAGAGGGCTTGAAATTCATGAAAGAGAGCCGGAAGTTTGTATTGAATATTCTTTTACAGAATGGAAGCTGCTTGGTCCTGACTTTGTGTTTGGTGTCATATCAATGGTTGATGGTGAGCGAGATCCTCGCAACTTGTTGCAGCTGTTTGGCATGTTTCCACACTTCATTAGAACGTTCCCTCTTGGCCATCTAACAGAGGAGATGTTTGAAGTTATGGCATGTTACTTTCCCGTTGATTTCTATTCAGTAAGTACTGAGATATCTTAATGTTAACAATATAACACCTTAATTAGGTGTACTGATGCTGTAAGCGGGGCTTGATTGTAGTTAGCAACAAACACAGGAATTGTAGGTAGTGGCCTGGTTATTTTTTAACATAATAGCATTTTTCAAAATTAAATATAGGGTGGGAGTATGGAAAGTGGGAGAGTAAGCCAAGACTGTGTAGCCCACTGGATAAATGAATCACTGCCTGCATTGTTAAATGGCTATGACTTAAAGACGTTTTTATTGCAGAAGAAACTGCACTGTTTTATTCTTTGATGGCAGACAAGATTCTTGATATAAGACGGGAAGCCTGCACAGGTGGGAATAAATCCCAAGAAAGATTGACGGTATTGCTGTGCTGCAATGCCAAGGGAGCAGAGAAGCTGACACCACTTCTTATAAGAAAGGGAAGGTGGTAAACCTGTGTAATATAATGCAGGCATTCAGTGTGTAGAATTATACTTTCATACGTGGTAATTGAACCACACAAAACTACATATTTTATCTGCAAGACAACCAGTGGTTGGTAGGGCATTTACCTAATAGTGACATAAAGAAGTCTATTATTTTAATGTAAAAGAACAGGCTGGTGGATCTGTTCAGTGCACATGTATGTCATGTAAGTTATGCTATGTAACTGGTATAATCATAATTGTATGATGGCAGATACATGCTGAAACATATCATGGATAGATACATAGTTATACATAATTGTGTTGACAAGGAAAGTAAATAATACTGAACTACTAGTTTGTCTCTTGTGTCAACTTTGTTTCTACTTCATCAAACTTTAGATAAGTGAGTAAGAGAATTGTAAATATTGATAATCCTTTTGTCTTTAGAGACTGTTTCAAAAGAAATCTATGGAGAAGATTTCATTGCCTGAGCTTATCAGTTCAAGGTGAGGACAATAACATATTTTGAGTAGTTCATGACATATTCATATATACAAATTAGAAGCAATTTAAAAGCAGCTTCTTAGCACTAGCCAGTTTATTCGGAAGTACAGAAAGGATTACATTTATAAGGGTCAATAAGTCTCTGTTGTTGTCTCTCTGTTCTTGATGGTCTTCAATCGATGCTTTATTACTCAGAATTCTACCAGCTTTTGGTTTATGTGCTTGAGGGAGTTTTTAAGAGTTTTCAGGCAGAGTATCATCCTTGAATATGTAATTTTGCTCATTGTGCTAAGAGATGATTAAATGATTATATTTCTCTATCACAGATTTCCAGCACTCCTAATGCAATTACTCGTGATGACCTTGCAGCTGCTCTTTTGCAATGCCTCATAGCCTCACCTGCTTTTGCAGAGTTCTGCATTCCTTTGTTATTAGAGAAGTTAGATTCTCAACTCCGCATCGCAAAGCTTGATTCTCTTCGATTACTGGTAAGTGGTATTACCTAATACAGCAGCATAGTCTTTGTGCAGATTCATTTAGGGCTATGCAAAATAAGGGTTTCAGGCTTCAATTTTTTTTTATGGTGAATGTAAAAGTAAACATTAATTTTCAGTTGACTTAATTCCTTACATAGACATGAACATAATGGAATATCTCTTTTGTGCATATGATCATTTCGGTGTTGTAGCTTACAGTTCTAACTAAATAACACACTCATTACTCTCATTCACTCCATGTAGCTGAGTGCTTCTTCAGAAGCTAGAAATTTTCCAACCACACAAGAAATTCAAGAATTTTGTGGAACCTGAAGGCACAATATGCTCACAAGGGCTTGCCACCTGTCTGTCCTGAGCCAGCCAAGTCCAGCCCACATCCCCTCATCCTGTTCCTCTGAGATCCATTTTAATATTATCTTCCTTTTTATGTCTCCAGTTATGCACTTAGAGTGAATAAAAGGCACCATTTAATTTAAAAATTATGACTGAAGTTTATGCAAGACAGGTTAACATTGTCTGTTGCATGGAGTCATGCACGTAGGATCTCCTTATATACAATGAAACCCGAATTCTGCGTTCCTTGAATTTATGTTTTCCTTGGGTCTACACACGTTTTTATTGGTCCCACCAAACTTCCATAAGAACAGTGTTAAGTTTTCCTCAAATATACATTTGTGCTTTCTGCCAAGTTAATTGATTATGCTGTGACATGCGGGCATTTCTAGGAAGCAAATTGGCAGACAAATTGCCACGGAGATACTATTCTTAAACACAGTCCATCACTAGGTGTTAGATGTTCCAATGGATATGTAAATGGAGGTTGTAGACTCTTGGAGACCAGAACATTGCTGCGAGATTAACACATTTTTTTCTGTGGAGATGGATTCCTAGAGACCAACTCAATACAAAACAAAGGCTTCCCACAGCAATGAATAAGCACACAATAACAGAGGAACTCTTGGAGGTGGTGGTCTATGCTAGAGTTATGGGGGAAAAATTCAAGCAGTTAAGTAATGGTTTTAGTAATTCTCTTCTTCTGTTTTCAGCAAGAATGTTGTAAGACCTTCACAGTAGGAGGGATGGAGAAGCATCTGTATGATTTGTTCCAGTCTCTTCATCGAGAAATCGTTCCTGGAACAGACAAGGAATTGTGTGAGGAAGCTCTTGTGGCATTGAAGGAACTGATACATATGCTGTCCATAGTACCTGTTGACAAAGACCAAGTAAATCTGTTACATAAGGTTTTAGAAAATATCATCAGTGGTAAGTTATGAAGGATATTGGTACTTTTGCAGATCACACCCTGAAATTTTCTCATCCATTCCAGTTGAAAGGCTAGAAGTATTGGGTAAAAACAGGTAGAAGAATGTACCCAAGTAATTACTTTTAAATTTGTCCTAAAATCATTGTATGCATTAATTGTATAATTATTCTGTTAGATAATTAAGTTCACCCTTCTGAACTAGAGTTAGTGTATGGTAATATTTTATAACAACTTTATGCTTCTGATGGCCACTAATTACTACAGCTTACAGCCAAAGATATATAAAATGTAATTACCTCACCCAGTATTTTGTTGATATTGAATAAGAGTATATGAAGTTTTATGTGAAGGAGTTACCAACTGCCACACACCATGTCTCAACTGGGGAATTTGGACGAAAGGTCCTTTGATAAAATTTTTGCAATTCTTGCAGAAATTTCACAACTGCTGTAAAGACACTGGGCTCATGAAGTCACACCTATACTGTGCTATCTATGGGTCTGTTACTTTTTCATTGACCTTATCTATTTCAAAGATGCACGTTTCATAATATAGACCAAGGGTCTCCAAACTACGGCCCGCGGGCCACATGCGGCCTGCGATGTGATTTTATCCGGCCCGTGAAAGAATTGTGCAGAAATGCGCCAATTGAACTAATTTTCCAGTGAGTACTGGTAAACGTGATTCCGAGCTTATTGACCTGACATATTATACTGCGTTTCGATGGCTTAGCTGTGGAAAGGTTATTTCACGCTTCTTTCAGCTCAGGAATGAAATTGATATATTTCTTACCGAGAAAGACCATCACGAACCACTTCTATCAGATACCAAGTGGCTTTGGAAATTAGCAGTTTTGCTGATCTGGTAAACCATATGAACCATATGAATTTAAAGTTGCAGGGTGAAAATAACTTAGTCTGTGATTTATTTGCACTTATCAAGGCATTCAGAGCAAAGTTGATACTTCTGGAAAGGCAAGTGAAAAATTGTAACTTTGTTCATATGCTATACTGTGCAGAGTTGCATAAAAAGGTTGAAGCAGAATTTCCTTCCTTGTTTGCAAATTTAGTCATTTCAGATTTGAAAGAACAATTTTGGAAGCGATTTGCTGATTTGGATGCCAGTGCTCAGGAAATTAGATTGTTTCAAAATCCATTTGACTGTGATGCTGCAGATGTCAAATTCAAATGGAAATTATTGAACTTCAGGAAAATTATCATATTAAAGACAAATACAAGGAAGGAAATTCGATCGACTTTTATAAACTCCTGAACTCTGAGCAGTTTCCAAATTTAAAGAAATTTGCTTCTAAATTTATCTCCATTTTTGGGACGACGTATCTGT